GCCAGCCTTGCCCCCAGGGTGGGCTGAGCCAGCCACAGAGGGAAAAAATCCTTGGAAGAGACAGCCTGCTCAGGTCCCCCTTCTGTCCCTCTCACTAACAGAACCTTTCTTTCCCCTAATAAGTATTCTGCTCTTAATCTCGGTTTGTTCCTAAAATTCATGCTTCAGTTTTAGAGAATACAAACTTGGCGCAGGTACCTTTCAGGCTGGGAGTTTCAGTCCCCTGTATCACCATTCCTAAGTGAAATGTGAACCCTGTTTCTTGCCTCTGGAGGTCCTAGTCTTACAGAACGGTAACTCCCAAACTGTCAAAGGCCAGAGAAAGGAAGTGAAAGCAGGAAAAGTTTTTTTTTTTTTTTTTTTTTTTTTTGTGGAACCGGGGATTGAACTCAGATCCTTGAGTTTGTCAGTCAAGTGCTTATCCTACTGAGCCATCTCCCCGGCCATTCTAAAGCAGGAAAGTTTTATTAAGAGAAAACTCCCATGGGGGCCAGGGGATGGCTCAGTGGAATAAACACTTCTTGGCAAGTGCAAGGGACTGAGTTCAAATCCCGGTTCTGGAAAAAAAAAAAAAAAGAGAGAGAGAGAGAAAATTCCCAGGACACAGGAGGGTCCTGAGAGTGGGTGGACGCTAAGGAGATGTGTCCAGAGGTCTGAGGTAGTGAAATTGGTATAGGGAGAAAAACTAATCTCTGGTGGGTGACCTCCAAATGACATAGGGAACCTCCAAATGATATAGGGGAACCTGACCTGGATGAGTTTGCGTTCTCTAAAACCGAAGAATGAATTTTAGGAACAAACAGAGGTTATGAGCAGAATATATTTATGGGAAGAAAGAAAGCTTCCGTCTGAGAGGGACAGAAGGGGGGCCCGAGCGGGTTGTCCCCACGAAGCTGTCTCTTCCATGCGGTGCTAAGGTGGACAAAATGGGAACTCGCTTAGGTGGATGCGGGGTGGGACAAAACTATGGTCAGCCCATGAGCTTACAAGCTCCATCGCTCAGGTAAAATCAAGTCCAGGACCAAGTGGGGAAGCGAGTCACGAGTCACGGGGCAAGCAGGCCTGAAGGTAAAACAGGACCATATCTAGTAGCCATCAGGTAAGGATTCTTCCTGGCTTTCTCAGGGTACGATCAATCTAGGATGCCAATCTTTACTACGGAGGAGGTTCGCATTCGTTTGCTCTTTGGTCTTTAGGTCTGGCTCACAGCAGGCGCACCCGCCCCTCCCTCGGATAAGGTATCTTGTCTTCTGTGTTATCTCCTTTGAGGGCCTGGCCCTGTCTGACGGCCTCTAATATTTTTATCTAATTTGGCTGCCGCAACGCAGTCACATCCCTGGTTTCCTCAGGTCGCTATCAGCAGCTGATAGAATTTCCAGTAGCACCTTAGCTAAGGTGACTACGGGAGCAAACGGGCTTGGCGGAGCTGTAGCACAAAGGCAAAGGCCTTGTGGGCAGGGGGCAGGGGGCTCCTCTGGGAGCTACTTTGTTGCTGTGTGTGTCACATGATTCCTCCTGGGTGCTGCTGCTCAGACTCTCTGGGCCCTCTCTGCTGACAGAGCTCAGGGGAGGCTCCCAGCCCCGCCATTGCTTCTCTATCTTGGAGCTTCCTTTCTATCCACTCAGCCTTCAACGAGGCCTGGCTCACCTCATTTCTATGCTAGCTCTCTCTTCTCTACCTGATCTAGTGATCTGCAATATTAAGTGCTTAAAATAAGGTCAGATGAGCTGGGTGTGTGGTGGCTCATGCCTGTAATCCCAGCACTTGGGAGGCTGAGGCAGGAGGATCGTTGCCAGTTTGAGACCAGCCTGGACTACAAAGTGAGCTCAAGGCCAGCCTGACCTGCATAGTAAGACCTTATTATTATTTTTTTTTAAAGTGTAAAATAAACTCAACTCAGAAGACACTAAACAAGAGGTCAAGGAGATAGCCGCCTGGTAAGAGCAACATCCTGAGTTCAATTCCCAGTACCGCCCCTCCCAAACTAAGTGAGAACACACTGTGCTAATTCAACACAGATTTCTGCAAACTCAGGGGGTTGGGGGGACAGAGAGGGCAGGAATAAGAGAGGAGCAGGCACCTCCCTTAGCAGGTCTCTCTCCTCTTGGGCTGCAAGGCCTCTGCCTCCAGAAAAAATTAACAGCCCAGCAGACAGCAGGGCTTGAGATCGAGATTGGCCCAGACACCAGCAGGGCAGCCCTGGGCAGGGCGGTGTGGCAGGGCCTGTGGTGCCCCTCTCCCCACCCCCACCAACATAGAAATCAAAGCAGCAGGGCCCAGAAACCATGGGCCGCGCCTGTGAGCAAGCCAAGAGCGGCTTTTCCATTCTAAGTGGTTGAAAAACAGCAGAAGGAAAATAAACTCATGTGCAAACCATGGCTCGGGAGGCTGAAGCAGGAGGATCACCATGGGTTTGAGGCCAGCTTGGGCTACATAGTGAGACCCTGCTTCAAAAGTAAATAATTAATTAATTAAACAAAACCCCATAGCATGCAAAGGTGCTAAAGAACTCAACATGCAAAGCATACACAAATACAGTTTTGTTTTTTTTTTGTTTTTTTTTTTTGGTACTGGGGATCAAACTCAGGACCTTCCACTCACCAGGCAGGCCCTTAAGCGGCTGAGCTATCTCCCCAGCCCCGCATGAACACAGTTTTATTGGGACATACCACGCCTGTGCTTGTATCATGTCTGAGTCTCCCTTTGCCCCTCTGAGGCAGAGGTCAGAAGTGAGACCAGATGTCCCCAACGCTGAAAATATTTTCTATCTGGCCTGTATAGAAAAGGCTGCAGCCCTCTAGCTTAAAGGCAGCCAACTCTGAAAGCAGAAGAGCCCTGCAGTCTCTGGGCAGACTCCCAGTTTCATGAGCAGCGGGCGGGGTCTCCTCCTCCCTGCAGCTCCTGCTCTCTGGTGGAAGTGGGGCTGACCTCACTTCTCAGTACTGCTGGAAGGCGAGGGACAGTGCGCTGTCACACACTGGCACAAGGGAACAGACAACCTTCTCGGAGGTTCAGATGGGAAAAAGGGTCCATGTACAAGAGGGGACTGTGTCACCTGGGCTAGTAGCAGGGACAAAGGAACTCTCTTCCCCAGAAGGACATGCAAAAGCTGTGTCTCTGGGAGATGGGCAATAGCAATGGGGAGGTCACCAAAGCAGGGCTGACAGCAGCCCTGGGCTCCTGCTGGACCCCCCCGACTGCAGACCTTGCACCCATAAGCTGGGGATACCCAGTGAGGTCAAACTATGAGGTGAGTTTGGAGAATTTATTAGACACTGTCCGGTCAGTCTCACCCCAAACCCCCACCTGCCTGAGAATGCTCGTCCAGCGTTCTTGCCACTTTCTGAAGCTGTCCTGGAGTTCTCATTCCTGAGGGGCCTTGAGAGGTACCATCAGAAATACAGCCATTGCAGCTGTTGAGCACCACCTAACAGAAAGGCAGGTTGGTAAAAACATGGCGGTGCACACCTGCGATCCCAGCACTGGGGAGGCTGGGGTAGGAAGACTGCTGCGAGTTCGAGACCAGCCTGGGCTACACAGTGAGCTCAAGGCCAGCCTGAGCTGCATAGTGAGGCCCTGTCTCAAAAAGACAAATAATAGAATAGAATAAAATAAAATAGACACCATTTCCTTTTCCATCTTATTCACTAGTCCTGGCACCTGGGAATGTCTTCTCAAAATCAAGATGACCAAAAGACAAAAAACGTTTTGGATGGATTCAAGACACTGAGGTAGCCAGGACAGCACAGCTAAAGACCCTCAGGAAAGCGGACTCCGGGGCTGCTGAAGCTCCTGCTGTGACTGATGTGTAAGTGAAGTTTGGCCCCCTCACTGTGTCTCCTGGTCACAGACAGGTGGTGTTCCTGTTGTTGTAGGCAGCCGAGTTCGACAGAAATATTCTCGGCAGTCAGACAGGGCCAGGCCCTCAAGGAGACAAGATGGAAGACAAGGTGACTTGGCAACTTGGAAGAGACAGACACTCCCATACGGGCCACACCTCAAGACCAAGACAAAAAGAGGAAGCACAGCTACATTCTTCCCTAGGGATGGGTATCAGGGATTGATATCCTAAATAGTATCAATCAACTTGAAAGAGCCCAAATGAGTCACTAGCCCAGCCCCCAACAGGAAGAGACCCTGTTCCGTATTCGTACCCGCTTGCTACGTGACTCGCTTTCCCATTTGATACTGGATTTAATCAATTTTAGCTGAGCAATGGTGCTTGTAATCTCATTGCTTGACCATAATTTTGTCCCACTTCATGCCCAACTAAGCGAGTTCCCATGTGTTCTCCACCACCTTAGACCCGCCTCACCACATGGTTTTCCTCTATAAAAGTCCCTGCAAGAGACAACTTCCCGGGGAACTACCCACTGGAGCCCCCCTCCTGTCCCTCTCTCGGACAGGAGCTTTCTTTCTCTCAATAAATATATTCTGCTCATAACCTCATTTGTTCCTAAAATTCATTCTTCGGTTTTAGAGAACACGAACTTGTGCAGGTCAGGTCCAGAGATCGTTTCTTCCCTATGTCATTTGGAGGTTCCCTATATTGTTTGGAAGTCATCCACCCGAGACCAGTTTTTCTTCCTGTATCACTGTCATTACTTCCTAAACAACGGTCTGTCTAGTGGGCTCACTCAGCCTGCACTGGGTACTTTAAGTATCTACAGGTGATTTAATGTATACATGAGGATACGTGTGACTCACGGTTGAGACAGGGTCTCATTATGCAGTTCAGGCTGACCTTGAACTCTGTGCGCCCCAGGCTGGCCTCTGACCCCTGGAAGTCCTCCTGCCTCAGCCTCCAGAGGGCTGGGGTGAGAAGTGTGTGCCACACAGTATTTTTATTACATAGAAAACTGAGTTGCAGAGGAAGTGGGTCTGCGGGACTCTGATTCTTACACTACTGATTGGAAGGGGTGAGGCGGGGTCTTCCCTCCCTGCCCAGACCCCTCTTCTCCGAGGAAAATGAGCACACGAAGACCACGTGGGTTAGAAACCACCGCTTTTATACACTAACACACACCAGGTTCAGGCGGACCATGCCAGGTGCAGACGGGTGACAGCTGTTGTGTCCCGACAGTTCCCCTCCTGGACACAGGGGCCCTGTGTTCCTGTCCAGTGGCTCCAGTGGCCTGGGCAGTCTCTGGGGCCAGCGACACGGGGTCCTGCCAGCGGATTGTACTCCCAGCCGTGCTGACGGCCGCTGTTTACGGAAATTGACTGACGCAAGCACACGAGGAAGCGAGAAGGGGACGTTCTGCCGGCCGCCGCCACCTTGGTGTCCCCGCCCCGCTCAGTACGGGTACGGGGACACGGCGATGAGCAGCACGTAGACGCTCTGGTGGCGCGGCGCGGCAGCGCGCACGGTGAGCCGGTAGAGGCCGGCTCGGGTGAGCGCGCGACGGGTGTAGACGGCGCCCAGCCCGGCGCTCAAGGGGCGCAGCGCGAAGGGGCTGCGCGGGTCGGGCTCGAGCACGCGGAGCTCCGTGCGGTTGGCGGGGACGCCGGCCTCGGAGAAGGCGGCCAGGCGCGCCACGTCGTGGTGCGCGCGCACGCCCAGGGGCAGCGGCAGCAGCCGGTACTGCACGGTGGCCGGACCCTCGGCGTCGCAGTCCTGCGAGCAGCGGCGGAAGCAGGTCCTGCGGGCCAGAGACGGACGAACAGCGACGTGGTCGCCACCTGGATCCGCGCAATGCCCCTGCGCCCCCCCCCACACCCCCCCGCTCCGCGCGCGCCAAACCAGGAGCCAGCGACGCGCCTGGCGACAGCACCAGCGCCCCCGGGCCTGCAGGGGCTGAGTCACAGCTCAGTTTTTGCAGAGCGCGGGGCAGAGGCTTGGAGACACGTGCTCGGCCCTGCCCGGGGCTCCCGCTCCTGCGCCAGCTACGCCCTGTCCGGGAAATTCCCCATCCAACGGCTCCTGACTCCCAGTCTTCGACTGTCTGTGCCTTTTATTTAAATGGTGCTGGGAATAAAACCCAGGGGGACTGTCCTGCTAAGCTACACCTCCAGGCCTTTTTTTTTTTTTTTTTTTTCAGACAAGGTCTTGCTAAGTCGCCCAGGCTGGACCCGAACTCCCAGCCCTCTTGCCTTATGCTCCCTCAGTGCTGGGATCACAGGCCTGCACCACCGCGCCCGGCTCTGTGCTCTCTCTGTATAAGAATCTGTGGCGCCTGTGAGCATCGTGGAGGAAATGCTGTGCGCTCCTGTGTGCGTCCGGAGGTTTGGGGTCATGGTTGGTTTCTGTGTCTGGGGCTTAGGTTCTGTGTGTCCCCTGCTCTTTCCCACCGGCCCCACGCATGTCTGCCCTGGTCACCTGCCGGGAACACAGCGGTGGGGCTCGTGCACACCGCCTCGGAGGAGCACGGTGGAAGCTGCCAGCTCCTGGCGGATGAGGCATCCCCACCCCAGAAAACCCGCCTTACCCTGGGCTGGCGCCCTGCCGGTAAGTGGCGGGACAGGGTGTGTCCACGCACTGGAAGCCACCGCGGGTGTTGAAGCACATCTGGCCAGACTCACACTGGATGTCCTCTTCCTCGCACTCATTGATGTCTAGGTGGCAGAGGTGGGCGAAGGCCGGAGCCAGAGAGGGTAAGGGTGAGGGGGGCGGGGGAGCAAGGCCTTCCCAGCCAGCCACTGGGCAGCACCCACACCCTGGTCCTCAGCAGCCAGACCTTAGCCCAGCCTGAGGCCCTCTGCTCCCTCCCTATTGTCCCAGGGTTGGGACTTGGCAGGGCGCCAAGCTGACCCAGTGAGGACATCCGGAGCTTGGTGCATAGCTGGAGAGCCCGGGAGAGTGAGGCTGCAGGAGACCTGGCTTCCCATCCCCCCAGGGTGCCCAAGGCCCATGGCAGAGAGCCAGTGGCTATGAGTTCCAGTCTTCAGGGCAGGAAAGTAGGGGAAGGAGAGAGCCGGAGGCCATCACCAGGCCACCTGCAGCAGCTGTGCCCACCCTCCTCGGTCTCCCTCAGCCATGGCAAGGGTGCTGGGTGATCCCACTTCCCCAGCAAGAAGCTGAGGCTCAGAGACACCAGAGAGCTGTCCAGGAACATACAGCGAGACCAGCCCTCCCACCTGGCAGAGGCACCAGGACCTCTCTGGAGACAGCCAAGAGCCCATCGTGTCGGGCACTGCCCCCTCACCTTGGCAGTTCTTCCCGCTGGGCAGCAGGCGGTAGCCCGCAGGACAGAGGCACTGGTAGCTGCCCTCGGTGTTCCGGCAAGCATGTTGGCACAGGCCACGCACCCGACACTCGTCAAGGTCTGGTAGGGTGCGGGATGGGCACAGGGCAGAGAGACCACATCACACACGCTGGGGCCTCCTGCCTGCCAGCTCCTGTCCGCCGTGCCCACTCCTGGCCTGACTGCAGGGCTTGGAGAGTCCCTGGGCTTGGTGACAGTGAGATACCTCCCTGCCTTAGCCCCGTCACTGAGGCCCAGGGGAGGGACAACCTTGTGCCAGGCAGAACTGCCTCCACTCCACCCTTTCAGACCCACCAGCCACCCACCTGCCCATGAGCCCTTGGAGGTACCCATGCCTAGCCCAGGGGCCCAAGATACCACAGGAGTGCGTTCTTGGGGGTGCTGGGGCCCAGCCTTACCCACGCAGGCGCCATTTTGCCGGATGAAGCCAGGTGGGCACCAGGCCCGGCCTACACTGCTCAGGGCTCTGGGCCCTGGCTGCAGAGAAACCCAGGCGTGGTAAGAGCCACCAGAGAGGGGGCCCCGGGGCCGCAGCCAGGACACCAAAGGGCCCCGGTGGCTGACAGTGGTCACATTCTGTCTCCTCCGCTCCAGTGGGATGCAGGCCTTGCCGTCACGGAGGAGGGTATGGCCCGGGGGACACAGACAGCGGTAGCTACCCTGGAGGTTGTAGCAGTGGGCACAGGGCTCAGGCAGCTGCTGACATTCGTTGACATCTGCAGAGAAAAGCCATGTGGTATCCAGGGCAGCTCATGCCTGCAGCATCTATTGCTTAGGCCTCTTGTAACCTTCTGCCTCACATGCTGCACCGGCTGCCCCTGCACCAGCCCTCTGTGCTGCCCCAGGCTCCTCTCAGCCTCTGTGTTTATGTTAGAGTCCCCTGCTCAGCTCCCCGGCCCCACTGCCCTAGGGGATCACTTGGATTCCTCTACTCCTTGTGCCTCTCTAGGGTCCACCCCACTGACACCACCTTCCTGCCCCTCCCAGCCTGTACAGAAGGTGCCTTGCAGGGTAAAGTATGGGTCCAGGGCCTGCTAGGCCTCAGAAGTCACCAGTGCCTCAACCCTAAACACCACTGCTCCAGAGCCGGGGGCCATCACTTGGGCCCCGTGAGGGCCCGGTGTCCTGTACCTAGGCAGGGCAGGCCGGGGCCCTGGGTCCGGTACCCCCTGGGGCAGCTGCAGCGGTGGCCACCCGCAGTGTTCTCACAGAGCTGGCTGTAATGGCACTCGTCCAGCTGTTCCAGGCATTCGTCCACATCTGGGGAGGCAGTGGCGGGGCTTAGCCCAGGGCCTCTCCCAGGGGAGATGCCCCTTCTGGGCCTCATCACACCCTCTTCTCCAAGTGCTCGGGGTTCTGGGGCCACAGGCAGGACGAGGCTTAAAGGTGGGCTTTGGAGGGAGACTCCCGGGTTCCAGCAAGCGGAAGATAGTTCCTTCCTCTCTGGGCTTCAGCTTCCTGCTCTGTAAGGAGGGCTGGGCCGGACTGTCACTGTGGGGTCATGCGAGGACAGGAATGGAAGATGCATTCACAGAGCTCAGGGTCTGGTGTACAGGAAAGAGCTAAAGAAGAAAGGAAGAAGCGGGGACCACCCAGCAGCAGAAAGAAGAGCCCCCAAACTCGGCATGCCTGAGCTCTGTGGAGGGCTGGCCTCAGGCTCTGAGTGCCACGCTGCCCCGGCCTCCAAGGAGTCACAGAATGGACCCCACAGGCATCGTCGAGGGGTGGCACTCAGGCCAGGTGCCCCTGACCTGAGGCTGCTGCTGGGTTCTGAGACTGTCACTAGCCTGTCCCCCCCTTGTCCAACACAGGACGGAGGGCACCGGAGTTGCCAACACTGTGCCAAGCCAGGACTCAGACTCAGGCCAGCTCACATCTCCTGGGCCCTGTGCTCCTTCCTTCTGCCAAGGGCTCCTGATCCCCCAGGAGCCCAGCATCCTGGTGACACACACAGCCATCTGCTGAACTGGCAATGCCTGGTTTCCTGGGAGTGTGTCCTGGCCACCCTGCACCTGTCACCTTCGCAGCTGGTCCCATCGGCCCCCTCCCGGAAGCCAGGCCCGCAGTCAGGGAGGCAGTGGTAGGAGCCGAGCAGGTTCACACAGCGCTGTCCCTCTTGGCAGAGATGGGCGTCCCACTCACACTCGTCCACATCTGGGGACAGACATGGCAGGGGCTGCATGAACACAGGTCCTGGGCCTCCCTGCACCCCGACCCTGGCCCAGCCTGCACACATGCGCTCTGTCCCCAGCCAGGAGACCCTGCATGGAGGTCCCCAGCCCTCCCAGCAGCTCACTGTCACTACGCCCTGGCAACTCACCTCTGCACGTCCTCTCATCCCAGGCCAGGGTGAAGCCCACTGGGCAGGAGCAGGAGAAGCGACCGGGCACATTGTGACAGGAGTGGGAGCAGGGGCTGGGGCCACCCACGCACTCGTCTCTGTCTGCAAAGGCCCAGAGCTGTGGGCCGGGCTCACAGACCCTCTGGCCAGCAGTTGGGGACAGAGCATACATCCCTGCCCAGGGAGGGGAGCTGCTCACCCACACAAAACTCTCCTCGGGGGTCCAGCTCAAAGCCCTCAGGGCACCCCACCTCGTTCTCTTCTGCAAGTCAAAGGGACAGGCTCTAAGGACACAGGGTCAGGTCACAGCATCCTCCTGGTCCCCAAGCCCAGCCTTGGCCTGGGCCAGCAGGGCAGGGAGCCAAGTTCCTCCCAAGCCTGCTGCAGGTGGTGGCCACAGGAAGTGCGTGTGTGTGTGTGTGTGTGTGTGTGTGTGTGTGCGTGTGCGCGCGT